GGGAACAAATGGATAAAGAAGAGGTGGTACACACACACACACACGCACACACACAATGGAATATTACTCAGCCATTAAAAATACTGAAATCTTGCCATTTACAACAAAATGGATGAATCTATATGGTATAATACAAAGTGAAATAAGTCAAAGACAAATACCGTATGATTTCATTCATATGTGGAATTTGAGAACCAAAACAAAGGAATAAAGAGGCAAGAAAACTATGGAGAACAAGCCTGTGGTTATGAGAGGGGAGGTATGTGGGGTATGGATGAAATAGATAAAGGGGATTAAGAGTATACTTATTGTATTAATTCTTTCAAAGAACCAGCTTCTAGTTTCATTGATCTGTTCTACTGTTCTTCTGGTTTCTATTTCGTTGATTTCTGCTGTAATCTTTATAAACCTCTGGCCAGACTTATCCAAAAGAAAAAAGAAAGGACCCAAATCAATAAAATCATAAATGAGAGAGATCATGACCAACACCAAGGAAATACAATTTTAATAACATATTATGAGCAACTATATGCTAAATTAGACAATCTGGAAGAAATGGATGCATTCCTGGAAATTTATTAACTACCAAGACTGAAACGGGAAGAGATATAAAATCTGAACACACCAATAACCAGCAAGGAAATTGAAGCACTAATAAAAAACCTCCCAGAAAACAAGAGTCCAGGGCCAGATGGCTTCCTAGGGGAATTCTAGCAAACATTTAAAGAAGAAATCATACCTATTCTACTGAAGCTGTTACAAAAAATAGAAATGGAAGGAAAATTTCCAAACTCATTCTATGAGGCCAGCATTACCTTGATCCCAAAGCCAGACAAAGACCCCATCAAAAAGAATTACAGACCAATATCCCTGATTAACATGGATGCCAAAATACTCACCAAGATACTAGCCAATAGGATCCAATAGTACATTAAAAGGATTATTCACCACAACCAGGTGGAATTCATTCCTGGGACGCAAGGGTAGTTCAACATTCACAAATCAATCAACATGATAGAGCACATTAATAAAAGAAAAGACAAGAACCGTATGATCCTCTCAATGCAGAAAAAGCGCTTGACAAAATACAGCATTGTTTCTTGATTAAAACTCTTCAAAGTATAGGGACACTGGGAACATACCTCAAAATCATAAAAGCCATCTATGAAAAGCCCACAGCGAATATCCTTCTCAATGGGAAAAACAGAGTTTTCCCCTTAAGGTCAAGAACACGACAGGGATGCCCACTCCCACCAGTTGTTCAACACAGTACTAGAAGTTCTAGCCTCAGCAATCAGACAACAACAACAACAACAACAACAAAAATAAAAGGTATTCAAATTGGCAAAGAGGACAAACTTTCACTCTTCGCAGATGACATGATACTTTATGTGGAAACCCAAAAGACTCCACCCAAAAATTGCTAGAACTCATACAGGAATTCAGCAACATGGCAGGATACAAAGTCAATGCACAGAAATCAGTTGCATTTCTATACACTAACAATGTGACTGAAGAAAGAGAAATTAAGGAATCGATCCCATTTAAACTACAGAACACTTATGAAAGAAATTGAGGAAGACATAAAGAGATTGAAAACATTCCATGCTCATGGATTGGAAGAATAAACATTGTTAAAATGTCTATGCTACTTACAGCAATCTACACATTTAATGCAATGCCTATGAAAATACCATTGACATTTTTCACAGAGCTGGAACAAACAATCCTAAAATTTGTATGGAACCAGAAAAGTCCCCAAATTGCCAGGGGAATGTTGAGAAAGAAAACCAAAGCTGGGGGCATCATAATGCCTGACTTCAAGCTATATAACAAAACTGTGATCATTGACACAGCATGGTACTGGCACAAAAACAGACACATAGGTCAATGGAATAGAATAGAGAACCCAGAAATGGACCCTCAACTCTATGGTCAACTAATCTTTGACAAAGCAGGAAAGAATATCCAATGGAAAAAAGACAGTCTCTTTAATAAATAGTGCTGGAAAAATTGGACAGCCACATGCAGAAGAATGAAACTGGACCATTCTCTTATACTATACACAAAGATAAACTCAAAATGGATGAAAGACCTCAATGTGAGACAGGAATCCATCAAAATCCTAGAGGAGAACACAGGTAGTAACCTCTTTGACCTTGGCCACAGCAACTTCTTGCAGGACACATCTCCAAAGGCAAGGGAAACAAAGCAAAGATGAACTATTGGGACTTTATCAAGATAAAAAGCTTTGCATGGCAAAGGATACCATCAACAAAACTAAAAGGCAACCTATGGAATGGGAGAAGATATTTGCAAATGACATTACAGCCTTTATCTGTAACCAGCCCTTTATGCTGGTATCCAGATCTATAAAGAACTTACCAAACTCAACACCCAAAAAACAAATAATCCAGTCAAGAAATGGACAGAAGACATGAACAGACACTTCTCCAAAGAAGACATACTAATGGCCAACAGACACATGAAAAAATGCTCCACATAATGTGCCATCAGGGAAATACAAATCAAAACCACAATGGCATACCACCTTACAACAGTCAGAATGGCTAAAATTAACAAGACAGTAAACAACAAATGTTGGCAAGGATGTGGAGAAGGGGAACCCTCTTATACTGTTGGTGGGAATGCAAGCTGGTGCAGCCACTCTGGAAAACAGCATGGAGTTTTCTCGAGACATTAAAAATAGAGCTACCTTATGAACCAGCAATTGCACTACTGGGTATTTACCCCAAAGTTACAGATGTAGTGAAAAGAAGGGGCATGCACCCCAATGTTTGTAGCAGCAACATCCACAATAGCCAAACTGTGGAAGAAGCTGAGATGTCCTTCAACAGATGAATAGATAAAGAAGATGTGGTTAATATATACAATAGAATATTACTCAGCCATCAGAAAGGATGAATACTTACCATTTGCATCGACATGGATAGAACTGGAGGATATTATGCTAAGTGAAATAAGTCAGAGAAAGACAATTGTCATATGGTTTCACTCATATGTGGAATATAAGGAATACCACAAAGGACTATAGGGGAAGGGAGGGAAAACTGAATGGGAAGAAATCAGAGAGGGAAATAAACCATAAGAGGCTCTTGACCCCGGGAAACAAACTGAGGGTTGTGGAAGGGAGGGGGGTGGGAGATGGGGTAGCCGGGTGATGGGCATTAAAGAGGACAGGTGATCTGATGAGCCACTAGGTATTATATGCAAACAATGAATCATGGAACACCACATCAAAAACTAACGATGTAATGTATGGTGATTAACATAATAAGAAAAAAATAAATCATATACTATATGGTGGCTAATTGAATTTAAATTTAAAAAACTAAAAAGATACTGCTTAAAAAAAGATACAATCTTATTGTAATGAGCATTGAGTAATGTATGATTGTAGAATCACTATATTGTATACATGAAATTAATATAACCCTGTATATTAATTTTAGAAGAATTTAAAAAAATAAACAAAGAACCTAAGACTTAATGCAGTCAATTTGTGATTGTCCTTTGAGTGTTTAGAGATTCAGGGAGTAAGTCTTTTTCTAAGAATCAAGCTAAAAACCAAAGGACATAGTCTCATATAGAAAGAGCTGGGCTAGGAAAGATAAGAGTTAAATTTGATGTGGGTAGCAGAGTTTGGTTCCAGATACATGAATTCATGCACTGTCAATAAGAAGATGTAGGGTGGGGCGCCTGGGTGGCTCAGTCGTTAAGTGTCTGCCTGCGGCTTAGGTCATGATCCCAGGGTCCTGGGATCGAGCCCCACATCGGGCTCCCTGCTCGGCGGGAAGCCTGCTTCTCCCTCTCCCTCAGCCCACCCCCTCCTCATGTTCTCTCTCTCTCTCAAATAAATCAATAAAAATCTTTAAAAAAAAAAAAAAAGAAGATGTAGGGTATATTCCAATTATTTTGCTGAAATACTGTAAAATGAGTATAAGCTACCTTCTCTCCAGAATTTAAGATCAGTGTATCTTCTAATATTATGTTGTAAACACCCCACTTTCCCAACTCCTATACAAATTATTTTCTGAGGTAGGAATTGAGCAGTTATAACCAATGGGCCAAATCTAGCCCACTATCTCCTTTTACGAATAAAGTTTTATCAGCATAAATTCACACCCATTACTTTGCTCATTGTCTATGGCAATTTTTTGAGTTGAGTAGTTGTACTAGAGACTTTCTGGCCCACGAATTATATTTATTCTTTGGCCTTTTATTCAAAAAGTGGGTGTGCTCTGAAGAACTCATAATTATGACATATCATTTCATATTTACTTTTCATATGGTTTATACTTCTCCAGTGAAACTGTTGGTCTTTTATAAACAGGTGTCATGTATTATATAACTGGGTATTCCTGAACAATACCAAATAAAGTAGGCTTTAAACAATAAATATGCAAGTTCAAGGAGTTTAGAAGTTACATATTTCTTATTCACTATTGTACACTCCATCCCTTGTACTGTGTCATATACATGGTAGGTGTGCAACAAAAATGTAAGTCAATGAATGGATAGTGGTTGTTGATTACAGGCTTGGAAGATGTCTGAAATATCTTGATTTTAAGGACAATACCCAAAAAACACAAACTGCATCAAATCCAGTCCTATATGTAAACTGTACTTTAATATATGACACAATCACCTAATCAGCTTCAAACTAGGAGTCAAGGAATGTGTCATTCAACCAGTAAGTCATGATCTATTGTATTTGATGATAACTGGATGCACATAAATGGGCATTCAGATATAGTATATTTCCTCTAAACATTAAAAATTCTTCAGTATATTTCTCTCCCAACATAATGCTTGTTCTTTCAGACAACAACGTTAAGCCTTAGCACCAACTTAAGACTAATTTAATCTCCAAAAATACACAAAGCCCTCCAGGAGAGGACTTATTTGTTAGAAAAGTATTGCAGACTTTATTACCTTGCTTTAGCTCATGCCATTCTTTTTCTCATGCTGATTTACAGGATTTGAAAAGAAAGCTAAAAGAACATATTCTGAAGGCTGGAAATGTGGAACCTGCTGATTTTATAGAAGAAAAATAAAAACATTTAGATATCTGTCTGTTTACATGTTTAAGGGAGTGCATGTCAAAATAAAAGTCAGTCCGGCTCTCAGAACTATGTCTCTGTTTCTTTGGCTTCCTAATATTACTTAGAAAAAAAAAAAATACTTCTTTTCTGGAAGTTATAGGCCAAGATGGATTCTCTGATGTTATTGTTTGGTATTGGTCTACAACTAGACAGCACCATGATGGTGCAATGTGGTGTTAGCAGCCCTTTAGCAAAAGTTCTAATATCTGTACTCCTCCTTCCCTGCCCACATGCATTGGCCCACTTCAGCTTATCACCTAGCAGCTGTTAGAGCATCCTGCTGTCATCCATCCTCCACATGTATCCAGCCCAGTGGAGCTACATTAAAGTGAGCAGAGCTTCACTGCAGAAAGATTGGCTGCTTGCCAGAACTTTGTTATTAGTGATCCTTCCTCACTGCTCATGTTTCATAGGCTCTTGGGTGACACTGAATCAAGTTTTCAAGAAACTCAATGGAGAGCTGTGTGGCAAGCCCACGTTTCACTGCCTCCACTCTTTAGACCTCAAGCTTGACTGGTGACAAGAATGTGCCCTGCACAAAGCAATGTATAGAGATATACTGGTATTTCAAATTCTGCACACTAAAATGACTTGGCAAGAGTAATAATGATGAATGCACCTGCTTAGCAGAAGAAAAAGATCTCATCACAATCCTGGATGACATTATGTTAAGCCAATATAACATTGAGATTTACTGTCTAAGAAAAACTAGAAGTATTAGGACCGCCCTCTCCATGTCAAACAAACTATTTTTCCAATCCTTTATTTTAATTTCCAAGAAATCTGCATCTCAGTAGAGCTTAACCTTATATAAGAGTTTAAACTTTTCAACAAAATTAGAAAAAAGCTTGGCAGAATACAAAATTAAACAAATATATTCTGAATTCATTTCCCATTTTTCATACAAATGAAAATGAGGATCAAATAAGCAGAAATAGAAGCTTTGAAGTATGTTATTTCCCTAAATTTTGAACCTGTAGGGAATAAAGATGCATAAATGGAGACTATAATCTCGTCTCGTAATCTAGTTTGCCATGTAGTCACCTTAAAGTTTGAGTTGTGACAGCATTTGAATAATGTTAAATATGAAAAATACGTTGGCATTATCTACTCTAACTTTCATATATTTTAAATGAGAAAAAAAGGGTAAGCAATGTATTGAATGTCACATTTAGTAGCAGACTTGGGCTATAACTCTTTCATTTTATCTTATCAATGAGGGGACATGTTCTTTTGTTTGAGACAGAAAATCCTCATTTTCACCTTCCATCATCCAACTCTCCTCCTCAAAAGAGAAAACCTTTCTGTCTTTCACCACAATGCCACATTCACTCTGCCCTAAGGAGCTTTACTTTACATAAACTAGAGGGGGGAGCCTGTGAATTTTACTTTTCTACAATTAGATAACTCAGCAAATCCTATATAAGACTTGACTGAGCCCCAGAAGAATCCACCTGCCTTCATGCTGTCCTTTAAGAGTAACATACAAGTGCTGTGAAAGGCACACGGTGTAAGAAAATAAAAAGAAGTTTATATATATTTACATACTTATAAAACCTGCATCGCATGTATGTATATATTGCTATGTAGATATAGGTATAGCAATATAGATATAGACAGAGCAAACACCAGTATCATTTTCCATGGAGAATTAGAAGTTTTGCCAATAAAGGCAAGAACACTTAAAGGACTCTGATATCAAAAATATATTACATTTTTGGGAGGAATTATTTGACATATTTAGATTAGAGAAGAAAATCAAAGTTACAGATATTTGAAGTGATGGAACTTTACCTTAAAATTACATGTAAATAAACTGACAAATTATTATGGAATATAAAATAGGCATGCACACACATGCATATATATATGTACATATATATTCAAACACCTAGAAAACATAAAGAAAATAGGCCATTTACAATAGTAAAAGAGTAAGATGAACCTTCTTTGGAAAATCTTAACAGGAAAAGAAGATAAAAGTTAAAATGAAATGGGAGATTTAAAAGAGTAGTTGAATAGAAAGGCATTCATTTTCCTTGAATCTGTATTATAAAGATACAAGTTTTCCATAAATGAATCATAAATTTAATGCATTAAAAAAGTATGCCAAAATTATCTTTATTTGTAACCAAGCAAGCTAATTATAGGGTTTATTTGTAGTAAAAAACTTCCAAGAATTGCCAGGAAGATTCTTTAAAAGAAGAATACTTTGTAGGAACTAGCCCTGTAAGATATTTCAATATGTATATAGTTTTAGAGACCAGAGCAACCGTGTACTTATACACAAAAAATCAAAGAGATTAGTAGAAACTCAGGAACAAATGCCCAAACAGAAAGTTACTTTACTTTATAATAAAGGTAATCTTTAATTCCTGAAGAAATAATTCATTCTTATATGAATAGAAATGGAAAAATTTCTGAACCCCCTGAAAAAAACACAATAAATTTGAATTTATTTATTTAAATCTAGATCACTCCTTAGTACAAAATAAACAGGTGGATAAAATAATTAAATGCAAAAAATTAAATGGTAAAAATACAATAAAATTGGAAGATTTTTTTTCATAATTATAGTGAATGAATCTTTTCAAATATAATGCAAAACTAAGAAGTCTTAAAGTACAGATAACTGACTAAACAAATTTTTAAAAATTCTTGCATGAAAGGTGTTATCCAAATTAAAAATCAGTGACACACTAAATACAGATTTTGAACCATTTGACAGATAAAATATAACTCTTAATTTATTAGGAGCTATTAGAAATCAATGAAAATCAGTGAAAATTCCTATAGAAAAATGGGCAAAGGACAGTGAAAGATGGTTTATACAAAAATAAATGCAAAAGACTTAAGCATATGAAAGATGCTGTATAAAAATTCCATAGTAAAATTTACTCAAAACTGAAAATGAGACATGGTTTTTCAGCTATCACAATTGCAAAGTATGAAAGGTTGATTATAAACTGTGTTGATGATGGAATGGGGGTACATGGGCTCACATAATGAAAACCTGTTTGCAGGGAAATTTGCTTTAAGTAGGCAAATAAAAGTCACATATAACATTTGATACTCATTTCATTTTTAGAATTGTATCCTGCAGGTGTTTTCACACCTTAGCACAAGACAGTTGCATAAGGATATTTATCTCAATATTGTTTATGGTAGTAAAATATTGAAAACAACATAAATGGGTCAAGAGATTATTAAATAAGTTACATATGAACATATAATGGATTTATGTTATTATGGCCATTGAAAAATTAAAAATATCTATAAAAACTGATATCAGGGCACCTGGGTGGCTCAGTTGGTTAAGCGACTGCCTTCGGCTCAGGTCATGATCCTGGAGCCCCAGGATCGAGTCCCGCATCGGGCTCCCTGCTCAGCATGGAGTCTGCTTCTCCCTCTCCCGCTCCCCCCTCTTGTGCTCTTTCTCCCTCTCACTCTCTCTCTCAAATAAATAAATAAAATCTTAAAAAAAAAAAAAAACTGATATCAGTGACAACCAAGATACATAATTCAGGAAAAATGCAAGTTGTAAGAGTGTATATATTATGATACCATTTAGATATTCAGAGATACATCTGAAATGATACACAAGTCAATGTTGATTGGATATTTCTGCAAAAGACTGGACATACAGAGAGAGAGCATTAAAGGGAAACACATTCCCTGTTAACAATTTTCATTATATGAATCTATCACTATGTACATATATAATGCCTACTAATAAAAATAGTACAGACAAATGTAGGATCTCAGTGATTGAAAAGGCATTGTAAGGAAATGGTTGTGCTATTTAATCCCTAGGACTTCACTAAGTGGTTTTTAAGCCTTGAAGTATGAATGCTATCTGTATGTGAATGAGTTTTATGAAAGAACTAAGTATACCAACATTTCCCTGGAAGTATAGTATGAAACAGTTTGCTTTAAGAGGATAGGAGAAAAAAGCAACCCAATGAACATAAACTGTTATTTAAAAAAAAAAAAATGCCATGGATGGCTTACCACATTTTCCCACCTGTATTCAGTATATACTTTGAGTATTATAAGGGAAAATTCTTTTCATTCATTCAGGAGGAAGCATGATCCTCCACATTCTAGCCATGGAGAACTAAATAACACCTTTGGAATCAACACACTGGAAAATGTAGGTACATGATTTATTGGGCTAAAACTTGATAAAAGTGGATTAGCTAAAAGATGATATTCCAATGTGTTTTGGCTGACCACATTTCATGTATGATAAATGATGTCAATAAGAAGTCAAGCCATTTTTCAAAGTACAACCTAATAGACTTCAAATAATTACATTTTATTTCTACATAGGACTTCACAAGTTTAAAATACTTTCACATATTACTTTAATTTTCTCCAAACAACTTAACCATAGAAAGGAAGCCACAGCAAGTATTTCTTGCCCCAATTTATAAATGGAAATGTGGTCCTCATAAAGGTTGTCAATTTTTAAAGTTTATTTGATTGGTAAATGGCAGATCTTAAATGAGTTCCCAGGTTTTTAAAATCTTAGTTCAGTTTTTAGAAACACATTACTTCTTAGAAAATACAGAAAAAAAACCCTATGGCAGTCTGATACAGGGACAATTCATAAGGCCATAAAGTTTCACTGAGAGTGCATAGGCAATTAGACATGACTAGTCCTTGCTAATACACAGAAGGGCAATTAAAAAAATCTATGCATGTAATGCTATTAAGAATGCCAAAGATGCAAGTTTGCATTAACGTAACAATGAAAGAGATTAGTCTCCCACATTTTCGTATGTTCACTCTCTCTAGGATTGGAAGAATGTATAATGTTAGCTTCTATCCCTTTTAGTGTTTGTTTTTATATGAAACATATCTCCAAGACTCTTAATGAATAATGTAATCTTCGTTTATAATAATCTTTTAGAAACTATATCAAGGGTATTAAATTACTTAGGCATTTTTAGCAGATAATATCCAAACTGAATTGATAAATATAAGCCACTGCCTCCTACTGAAGTATTTAGAAATGCTTGGCTAGTCATTAAGTATAAGGTCTTTTGAAAATACTCTGAAAATACCTCCAGTATTTTGTTGTAAACAGACATCTGACCAAAGGAAGGAATGGGGTCTTAAATCTAGTCTGCGTCTAGGTGCCCTGTATCTAGGTGCCAAGTCATGGTCCCTTTGTGACCGGG